GTCATTCCAGACGAGAAAGAGGAGGAGCCTGAGAAAGCTAATGGCGAGATTAAGCAGAGAGTTCCTCTCCGACGCTTCAAACCCGCAAACAAGTTTCAGTACCAGCACTGGAGATATTTCGATCCATTTTATCTCTACACGGACGATACCCTAGAGCCTTATGTATCAGTCAAAGCGTTCAAGTATTATTCTCTGGAGCTGAAGAGAGCCATTCAAGAGGCAGTTCATGTCGTGAATAAGAGGCATCATCCGGTACGCGTGAAATTTAAGCGCCTTCATAACGGGTATGTACGACACGACCCTCTACAAGGCAACGAGTATATTATCGATGCCACGTTCATGGAGAGAAGACGAGGGAGACGGATGTTTAACGAAAGAGTGAGAATACTAAGACCCCTGGCTTCTAATTTCATATTGCAGTCGTCGAAAAACGATAAAGACGAGAAAGTTCATATCGTGGTACCTATTTCTGACGTTACTCATCGCTGCTTCGAGTTCCTTGGGATGTTTGCCAATGTCTCGTTAGCTACAAAAGAAGCAACTCACCTCGTTTTGGTTGTCTTCGGCGACAAAGACCTCATAGAGATAGAGGAGAAAGTCGACATGTATAAAAAGACCTACGCCGAAGCCGAAATTAGCATTGTGAAAGGCGTGGGCACTTTTTCACGAGCAAAAGCCCTTGATCAAGGCATGAAATCACTCGAAAGTGGAGACTTGACTTTCTTCTGTGATGTCGACATGACAATCGAGCGACCGTTTTTGGATCGCTGCCGCCGAAACACCGTCGAAGGCCGAATGGTATATTACCCGGAAGTTTTCAAACTTTATAATCCGAAATTTGTACCAGTCAACAATAGAAAAATATCCCGTAAGCAGGGCCATTGGGTCAACTATGGATACGGAATGCTCTGTATTTACAAGTCAGACTATGACGCCATAGGAGGTCTGAACACAGAGATGCTTGGATGGGGCGGCGAAGACGTTGATTTCTTTGAAAAAGTTCTAAAAAGCAAATTAGAAGTGTTGCAGAGTCCCGATACAGGGCTTATACATCGATGGCATCCTAATGTGTGTGCTCAGGATACTACAAATAAGTACAATCGAGAGTCTTGTATCAAGTCGAGAGCAGAAGCTTTAGGGGATAAGACTGAGCTTGCTAGGTATATTTATGACATTATGGAGAAGCATCCTGAGTTGACTTAGCATCTTTTAGCATTGGTCTTTTTAATTTTAACTTTATTTCTTTCCTTGCCTGCACTCCCCTCCCTCCCTCTCTCTCTCTCTCTTTCTTTCTCTCTCTCTCTCTCTCTCTCTCTCTCTCTCTCTCTCTCTCTCTCTCTCTCTCTCT